AGAAAATGCAGTATTATGAAAAGGTGCTTCATACTTGTTATTTTCAAGACTACATACTTCTTGATATAGTTTTGTGTTTCTGAAATCTGATAATTACGTCTTGTAATCTGTGATCAGGTTTTTGTTTTTGGTTCTTGGAATAGTTTGTTTTAGAAAACAAACCATAAATTTGTACTTCTTTACACTTGGTGATTTATGAATCTATTTATAAATCAAATCCTATGGTAAAATCGTTTGTTAATTTTTCACAATCTTAACTCTGAATATAAAACTAATTACTTATTTGCATTGCAGATTTAGGAAGGACACTGAGAAGACAACTACTCCAAGGAGTCATCCAGGATCTAAATCAAATCCTCTGCCCTCTGGGTAAGATTTTGTAATCCTTTCTTTAATCAATGATCTTGCTAATTTTCTTTCTCTGTTTTTTTTTTTTGGGTAATATTGGTAACTGTTTCCAAATATGCTCTTTCGGGAAAATGTTGGTACTAAATGTCCTTTAAGTTTCACAGTGAAGCAGCTTTTTTAGGATGAAATGCTTCGATGATCTCTGCAATTATAAAGATATTATGTGATTAAAGTTGCACTTCATGTCCTAGAATCTCTTCTACTGTAAACAGGAAATATAGTTCTGCATTAAAGTCTATTTCTTCATCATTATTATTTTTAATGGGCTATAGATGTTAAAGCCCACCTTGACTCTGATCTGAAGCTGTCGATTCTGTATGGTATAGAATGCAATAAAAAAAAAAAGAGGAAAAGAGAAAGAAAGAAAGAATTTGGTTATTATATTATAGGGCTTAAACTTAATGTATGAGTACTAATTTTTATAACGTACATGCTTCGATCCTGCATTTTCCTTATACACAATCCTTCGGCTAATTTCTTTCTTGTAGTATTTAAGATACTATTTTAATGATATCTGTTTTCTTAAATTCCTCATTTGTAAGGGAAAAAAAGGGGTAAAGTATATTATAGTCTTTATTGTTTTCAATAGAATATTTATTGCATATGGCGTTTTTTGGCTTATTTGAATTTTTACCAGATCGCATAAAAGCTTGGGTCTGGGTAGGAAGAATACGATTGCGTCCTCACCAAGTACTAGCTTGAAAATTGATGAAAAATATGAAAAACGGAAAGAGGTATTTCGGAGAGTCATACCCTTCTTCTTGTGGCTAGTTTATGTGAATCTGTTATATTTTATATTTTTTTTTATCTAACCAAACAAACTCGAAGCAGTTCCTAAAGAAGCTGGAGACAAAATCACTTGCCAGAGTGGCTGCAAATGCTCAGCTTGGTGAAAAAGTGAAGGTACGCTTTTCTTTTGTGTGAAAGATCAATAAAGAATAATGCACTAACATTAACTAGACGTCTAAACATGTTGTATTTATGCATGAAAATACAATTCATCAAGGCATGTATATAGTAAGAAATCTATTTCACATTCGTAAGCCCCCACCTTAAATGTTTCAAGTGCTCGTTTTTCTTGCTTAATCGTATTACTTGTGTCTATATTTTGCAACATTATTTATTTCTTTCAACCACCGTAATTCGTAAACATTTTTTCTTTTATTTTTTTCTTTCTTTTTTTTTTCCCTTTCATGTTTCTCAAACAAATATGCAGGCGGCTGTTGCAAACGAGATCCATCAACGTCCTATGTTGAGTCGGTAAAGATTGTGTTATCAGATTGAGTGAAATTACGTTTTCGGCCCCTGCCTGTGCTGGTAAAACGAGTGACATGACCAGGAGACCACTTGCTATTGAGGGGCAGTAGTTTTTTTTGCAGCCGTTAAAACTTATAAGGATGAGATCTCGTTTTTCTCCTGATGATGAAGTCACATTTATATCAACTTTGCCTATGAGATCAAAAGAGGGTTTAGGATGTTGTGTACCAGTATTTATATATGTAGCTTCTATCTTTATACTTGGAGTATTTGTTTGTATATATAGAAGATCAAATGTGTGAATGCATCACTAGATACTTTTCTAATGAAAATAACTCAATAATGCGGTATAGGCTCTGAACTTGTAGCTTCTTGTATGCGATTTTTTTCTGTTCTTAAACTAGCAGACCTGAGAATGGAGGGTATAATTTTATTTATTCAAAGCTAAAGTAAGTTTATTTAAAGAATAGTGAAATATTGATAACAATAATGTAGTGCCATTTTTCTTTTCTTTTCTTTTCTTTTTCTCTAAAATATAATTTTAAAAAAAATCCTCCAATTCTCAAAGGAGAATAGAAGAAATCATACTTTCATAGAATATCTTAATTGAATTCTATATAATGATCAATATCTTAAGTTGAATTCTGTATCATATATATTCTAGAATTCTATATATTATATATGATATGTATCAAAATCCTAGTCTATGGATATTTTGATTAGGGCCGACAAAAAATAAAAAATGAATAAAAATGAGGTGAAATTGATAGAAATTAGAAATGAGAGTATTATGTGAAGAATTTATAGAATTAGACCGAAATGAGAGTGACATATAAAATTGGAACCAAATTTATATAAAACTACAGCGATATTATAGCAAACCAAGCACAAAAAAGGGAGGGTTATTTATAGGATTTTTTTTTTTAAATCTTTTTGGATTTCTTACTTTAACTGAATCACCGATTCGGGTTCGGCCCAGCTGTTCCACGAGTCGGTTCAATCCTGGCCATTGTATTTCAACGGTCAGATTTAAAAATAAGACCATTGGCGGTTCTAGGTGGGCCAGTTCGGACCTGAACTTGGAACAGTCTTTCAAAAGTAAAATAAAATTTGACTGTTGGATCTCTAATGGTAAAAAAGATCCAACGACCCATATTTAATCTGCTTGTCGGTACGTCCACGGTTTCAGTCCGACCCGACCTGATCCGAAGATAAAAAAAATAGAAAATTGGCGTGCCTCTCCCGAGACTGTTAGGGGCCGACCCTGAACCGGCCCAGCGGTTCAAATAATTATATATGTGAATGTGAATCGGGAAAAGGGCTTGTGGTAAAAGGGCCGGTTTGGGCCGAACTGACTGGTGGAGCTGGCCCGTGGCCATGTCTAGTTTAAATCCAACTCGTAACAAAATGACATATAAATGGAAACCTTGTCCACGGGCTAGTTCAAGGCCCGTGGTAAAAGGGCCGATTCGTGCTGAACCAGTGGGCCGGCTGACCTGTGGTCGTGTCTAGTTTAAATCCAACTCATAGAAAAAATATTTTATTATGTATAAGAAATTAAACGAAATAACAAATAAATGAAACCTTGTTCTACCGGATCCAAATGTTCTTATTACCATTGTTTGCCATTAGCTATTTTATTTGCCACGAAAGTCTTCACCCCAATTTTTATTTGTTAGTTTAACTCTGTTTTGTCCACTTGTTAGTTGTTTATTGAAGTAAATAATAGCAAAGCGACAAGTCCTCATTAGGTAACAGAGCACATGGATTCCATAAAATGTTTATTAGTTTATGTCCCCAGTATGCCAATGACAGATCTCCAATTTATAAATTATAATCAACCAAAGGCATTGATCATATGCTATTAAGCATTTTTTTTTTTTTTTAAGAAACCATAGTATTTATAAAAAAAAACACATAATATAATATTTACATCTACACATCAGCCATAAATAACCAAGTAACTATACAACTGAATCTAGTGGGAGTACTGCACAAATGTTGCCTAGATTCAGCTACACTAAAATACACATTACACAACAAACTATAAAACTCCCATTGGTGTGGGATACGAGCTCATTAAGAGGAGAATACTAACCACAAAATAAAAACGAAACAACACAAGAAACAAACAATGCGCATACAACACCCGAAGACAACTACCGAAGAAAGACAAAGACCGCGGCCCCAGAAACGCGTCTAGAAACTCTCAACTCCAGAAAAGCCATGGTTTACGGCTGACTATATCTGGACCGACTAACCCGAACCTTCTTCAAAGGGATCACCACTGGTATGCAGCTCCGGAGACTCGCAACCATTACCTCCCTCAACACAACTCCGGCAACCACGACCAATTTCAACCGGAGAAGAAAAGGGCTCTCTCGGAGGGGATTATCCATCCCATACCAGGGGAAATAACAGTGTCGGTCCTAGCTCCGCCCATCATGAGAGAGGCAACCTTGGCAGGCAGCACCGGGTCAACGCCTTCGAGTCGTCAGCAAATCCGGCCAGAGCCACCCATCGAGGGAAGAAGCTCCAAATTGGGAAACTGGACCGAAAACAAGGCGGAATGAACAGAACCCGTTCGGTACCGATCATCTCTGAGGCGGAGTGGGGACTGCGACGACGGTGAAGAGGCAAAACGAGAAGAAAATATGAGTTCCGGCTGGGAGTTACTCTATGAAATTGTCAATACAATTAGATGGACTTAATTATAAATTCATGATGATTTGACAATCATCACATTATACCACCCATCAGATTTAAGATGCCACATGTTAATGTATAATTTTACACCATATTTATATAGTATCTAGAGCTTATTCATTACATTATTGTGTTTTAGTTCTATATCTTGCTGGGAGCATATTAGACTTATTTGTTTTGTAGATATTTCCACAATTTTGTAGAGTTTTTGGCTATTGGAGGTGCATAGTGGGTGCGTGAGACCTTCGGGATGATGAAAGATTGATACACGGATGTTAAAAATAGAAGAAACGAATGAAACAATCAAGAAGTAGTATGCAACTTTGTGACACGAGTATTATACTCGTGCCAGAGGCCATGTCACACCAAAAGGGAGAGCTTTACAGGCGATACGGGCTGCGGCACGGCCATTGACACCGGCAAAATGACTGTGTCGCGTGCGCATGCTGTTTTTTTATTTTTTGCCTATTTTGAAGAGGAGAATGCTTTAGAATGGTATAAGAGGCATAATTACCATATTTTGAGAGTGGGGAAACATGTGAAACAGGAGAAGGGTCTAGAACACACAAGAGAAACAATTGAGAAGCAAATAAGATCCAACTACGAATAAATCAAAGAGAGTGAGAGATTAACAAGATTCTTAATTTTTTTATTTCTTCTTTCTTTTAAACTTTTATTTATTATTCACCCAAATTAGTAATATTAGCTCCCTAAATGAATTTCTATTTTCATATATAGGATTACAAAACAAGACAGAGTTTCAACTCTCACAATGTCTCAACTATAGAGTTTGAAATAAAATTTATTTTCTTAAACTGCGTGGGATAAAGACAAGTGTTATTTTTTCTTAAACTGCGTGGGATAAACACAAGTGTTATTCTTTTATCATCACTAAGAAAACTACTAATTACCAACGAGCACATATGCATAGATATTCTAATATTATAACTTTAAAAAATTGCATCAGATATTATAACTGAGTTAATCACTCTAGAACTTCCATTGAAATTAAATTTTCATTAGAATTCTAGTTGAGATATAATAATTCCAATAATACATTTTTCAACGGTTTATTGTTGTAGATTTTTCAATTATCAAAATCCATCGGAAACCGATCCCAACGTAACATTTCCATTGAAATTTTCATTAAGTTTTCTATCTAATATTGCAATATAATCGGAATTACCATTAGAATTTTGTTGGAACATATTTCATTGAAATTTAATGGTTTTCTAGCAGCGTATGTAGGACTACGATGAATTCGATGGTGTATGTGGGGGCACTGCCCCCACATATTTTTTACCCTTGATTTCACACACACCCACGTAGGTGTATGTGTGTGTAAATCAACGGCAGCATCAAATTCTCCACTATGATGACTATAGACTGACAAACTTCAATCTTTTTTTAACACTTTGCATATTTTTCATAATGAAATGTTACACGTTAAAAAATAAGACAATAAATTTAAAAAATAGTGTAAATAAAAGTATGCCATTATATTTAAATATAAACATATAGTTTTAATTGAAAAATATGAGTGAGGATTTATCCAACAGTGTATCTGTATTCGTTTCGAGGGAGTAAGAATTATTTATTTCAGAGGCATGTAGCAATTGAAGTGTGAAATTCGTACCTACTCCATTGGGCATTATCTCATTAAGTTTTGTCAATTAATTTCATACACAGAATGTGTATGTTTGATTATTAAAAAATATTTGGAAAGGGAAGGAGCCAGCGAAAAGATGCTGACAATGGCACATGGACAATTTCATTTTCACCATATAATAATAACCAATTTGTCATTATTATTTTGTATAACGTTTAATTGGCAGTAAAAAGACCTTTTATAAGGAGACAAAAATGGGTGTAGAGAAGGGTTTGTAGTGAGTAGTGAGTATATAAGGTAGGATGGGGCTTGTGGGATTAACAATCAACTCATCCATTGTACAAAAAAAATATATATATATATATATATATATATATATATATATATAATAAGTGATAAATGGATCAGAATATGGAATCAAAGGAGGTTCATCCCACATCTAAATCTAATGATGATCAAACTCAACCTGTAAGTTTGTGTGTTCACTCAAATTCCTCCTTTTCATTTTGTTTTCCATAACATCTCTTAAGTTTGTGTGATTCTAATGATTATTTTGACACATCTATTGCATCAAATATATACATAAGTCTAGTTGTTATATTTTGGATATTGTTTGAATAGATGGATTCAAGACTAAATCAGGGCAGTTCATCCCATCTGTCTACTCAAATTTTATTCCAATTGTTGTTGGATGGTTTTTTCTTTTAACTTTGAGTTTGAGCAGTATTTTTTTTTTCTTTTTCATATTTTCAAAAATTTTAATTTTTTAATAGGCTCCAAAAGAAGCTGATGGCTCAACCAACAAGAAAGGAAAAGCAGTGAAGACGCCGGTAAGTACTTTTACTTGTACTAATAATTTGAAACCAGAGGCATGTAATTTGAAATTTGTTAGATTTGCGGGGGTCAAACTATAATTTGTTCTAATTTGGTTTGTGATTTATCACTCTCTTTTGCCTCTCAATCAATTTTACTTTCCTTATTTTAAAATATGTATACTAGACGTGACAAATACAATTTCCCAATTTCGGGTTCCGACTGAACCGGTTCTGGTTAAATTAAAAATAATAATAATAATCATAAAATAGTAAAAAAAAAAATCGAACCGCACGTTCCAATTCCACTTGGAAACCGGCCCAACGGTTCCAGAATTATAAATGTGGCCCGAAACCGGCCCGGCAAACCACAAACTCAATTCAAGCCCGTTGACTTCTGGCCTGTTTCGGGCCGGTTCATCCGTCTGTTCATTCATAAATTAAGCACTTGCAACTTCTCAAGATACATAAAATAGTATGTACCCATTGAATAATTTATAATTATCCCAACTTCACTTCTGCAATTAGGATTAAATTGGCAAATATATTTATTCTGCAGGCCTCCGCGCCCCCGCCACACTGGAATTCTCTCCCTCAGGTACCATTTACATTTTTGACATTTTTGTTGATTGTTGTAGAATATTTTTATCGGAGTAGAATCGAAAGATTCGAACATCGGGTCGTGTCTCAAGAAAGGGTAGCCGGATTAAATTGTACATTTATTCAATTATGAAAGAGAAAATAGTCCTAAACATTCTAATCAAATTTGTCGGTTTTGATTATTAACTAATGATACGTAAATAAAGCTATCTAAATGTCACAACTCACAAACGCAATACAAATAGAGATAAACGGGCTAGGGTATCGGGGACAATTGCTTCCGATTCTAAACACATTTAACAGGCAATCAATAACTCGGTTAAAGGGTTCGACAACTAACTCATTTAGCGGTTTATCCTTAATAACTCTTCGTAACATGCGAATAAACATAAACTAACGAATTAACGAAACAATTAACACATAGACAATACGTCTCCGAACGTGTCTACTCTAAACGAGTCAAGCTCCACCGATTTCTCCTCTCTCAGTTCTAAAATCGATTAACTAGATTAAAATGGTGATCAATCATCTCACCCTAGGATTAATACAACTCGTAAAGATTGAGCAATCGACATACACATAAACGAGAACAAACCGGAACGATTATCCCCTAACCCCTAGCTAATGGATTAGCCACTCATAGCAATCTCAACACAAGCATTCATATTAAACCAAGTCATCATCATCATAAACAAAATGAAGAGAAAACTTACTAATAATGTGAAAACCAACACAAGCAAGAAAGGAACAAGCTGTCTTCCGTCTTCTTACAAAATCACACCAAAAGCAAATGAAAAACTAAGAAAAGAAGAAGAAGAAAACGCCGAGGAGAGCAGAAAAGAAAAAGGAAGAAGAGAGAATATATCTTGGAGAGAGTTCGCTGCTGAGGATGGTGTAGAAGCCAAAAGTGCCGACCAAAAATGTCTTGAGTGGAGGAATGTTTTTATGTCGGTAGTGAAATCGGTCAACATCGCTCCCTTCCCGATCATTTATTCCCAGCTTTTGAAGTGTACAAGGAAAACGCACTACAAGGACACGGCGCGAAGGAAGGTCACGGCGTGGAGAGATGGGGTGGCGCGGCGCGGCGCGGCGGTCCATCACGGCGTGGTCGAAGGCTCTACCGCGGCGTGGGAGTCTCTTCACAGCGTAGAGGAGAGCTATCGTCGCGACGCGGGGCTTCTGGCACGGTGCGGAGGAGGACTTCGTCGCGGCGTTGCGGGTGCACGGCGTGGCGGGCAGGAAGGGCTCTCTGAAGGAGGATCGTGGCGGCCATCGCGGCGTGGAGAAGGCGTAGAACCTGGGTAAGCTGGTGGCCATTCTGCACGACTTCGTGTCTCGGGCTCGTTCACGTTCGTCTGGACTCGGAATTTGATTCTATTTTCTCCTGTGTGTCCCCAACGAAATGCTCCATCCAATTTTGTTCACTCGGTCCATTTATCGTAATAAGTAAATCCTCTTAAACTTTCCAACCTGCATACCACAGTCGAAGAAAAATCGAAAAACGACCGAAAAAACACAAGAAGGGCAAACGACCGAAAAACACACGAATACAAACCGAACTAAAAACCAATTAAAAGATCTAATATGGGGAAAAATAACGAAAAAATAACAAGGAAAAATGTAACAAAAATGGGACAAACAACTCCCCCACACTAAAACCTTTGTTCATCCCGAACAAAAAGAAAAGAAAACAACAAATGAACAAGGACAACGGTTTCAAGCAAGACAAATCTCAAACCAATTAATCGAGTCAAGAAGAATTCTAATGATAATAAGGACATAGCCCAACTATTAACTTGGCCATTTTGAAGAACATCGACTCTCGAGTACAAAAATATCATATGTGCCTCACTCAGTTTCTTTCGTAAATATCAACTGGGTACGCTCAAATTGGTCGTCCGTCAAATCAATCATAAGTTTGCCTATTACTCTAAAACAGTGAAATTCATGCAATAATGAATCAAAAGGACTTTTAGGGATGTAATGTATGCTCTTTGGATCGGGTAGGATAAATATAGGCTAAGTGGCTAAATAAAAATCAAATCAACCCAAGTCACTCTCTTAACCATTAGCATGAACTCCTCCGGTTGTCAAGCACCAACCGTTTCCTCCCATATCCTCACAAACCAACACGCTACTCACATTATTCATATATATGCACACACACACACACACACACACACACACACACACACACACACATATATATATATTTATTTTAATTGAACCCTTTCGATATTTTAAATAATCCATTTGGTCCCTTTTTTTTGTGTGTGAATGACAACCTTAGGATGTTTATTTTATTTTTCATCTTTTTTTTTATATATATATACAACACGAATTACCTCCAATTATCCACCCGCAACTCCACAATATCATCTTCACGAGGTTATATACGAAAGAAAATCAATAAGGCTCAAAGGGGGTGACTAGCGAAATTATTTCCACAAAAAGACAAAGGGAAAGAAAATACCAAGAATGCCTCAATCATGTTCACATTACACAAATCCAACCGATTCATTTCGGAGTAGACTCAAGAAAAATTCTATCTGACAACAATTCTGACCAATATCTCACAGAAAAGAAACGAGTAGGGCTCAAACCTCACAAGGTAGAATAACTGTTCAACAAAACAACCAAGCATTTCATCGAGATATTATGCACATCATCACAACTACTCAACTCAATCAACCGTTATTGATCAATCCGTGTAATTCACCACAGTCTAAATTCAGAAAGACACAACACATAATCCTAAAAACTAGATCGGTCCACCAAGCAAGAGAAAAGAAATAAAAACAATCCTAAAAAGAAAAACCAGACCTGGTCAACCACACAGCCCCCCCACACTTAGAATTAGACAATGTCCCCATTGTCGATCCTAAGTACAAGAGAGTCAGACCACACAATCAACCGACGCGAAAATAAAAACAAACTGTACATAACAAAAGAGAATGAGAAAAGAGAAACATACAAAGCACAGTGACAAGTCACTGTGCGTCCGGTGATGGTGGCGGAGGAGGGAAGGAGGATTTCCCGTCTCTCGAGTGCCCTTGAGTGTTCCACTGGTGAAACTGATCGTTCCACTGGTTCCACTGGCCATACTGTTTCTCTTCTCAACGGTCCCAGCGGGCCTCATATTTATCCATTCGAGTGTCCTGAGCGTCCCAACGGTCGTTATTGTGCTTAATAAAGGCCTCTAACCTCACATTGTGCGAGCTCACCTCGGCCTGCGTGGTCCGCATGTATTCATCTTGTCGCGTCTGATATTCCACGAACCACGTGGGGGTCTGTTGAGGTGGTAAGGCGGTGGTGTCCTGTGGAGATGCTGGTCTGTAAAAATCCGTCTGGGCAGGTTGCTCCTCGTCGTCCAAGTGCTGCTCGATATTCTCTGCTGTTGTAGGTTGAGGCGGGTCTCCGGTGGGCTGTCGAGACGAGCCCTCTCCTGCTGCTTTTTCCTTCGCCTCCATCGCTTGCAACTCCTTCAAGTAAGCAGTGTAGCATGGGCGTTCGACATAATGTGTGAGCTTGGGTAGTTTTTTGTCGACAAGACCGGCATGCCGAAGGTCGGACCAGCTGATTTCTGCAGCACCAATGCCTTCCGCAGGAATAAGGGGAATTTTAAAATGAATTGCGAGCTCCGACGCCATGTGCCCTTAGGTAGGGTGGCTCACTGTTTTCTTCCGTATGTCGACAAGGGCTTGTTTGAAGAACGGAGGCACAAAGAATGTTTCTCGGATATAGCCCATAGAATGAACACCTCTTCTTCGCTCACCTTGTTCGCCTCTGTTTTCTCGAAGATATTGAAGGAGAGGAACTTATGCACGATGACAATTGGTACGTCCTTGATTAGACCCGCGGATGGTCCGAAACTCTTGAAGAATTTGCAGGGCGATAAGGAGGCCCAATGCCTGGTAGTTCTGAAGTTTTCGGGTTTGAGGCGTTGACCCGTTGTCTTGAAACCGAAGATCTCGCAGAGGACCTTATCGGTGATCTTGACCTCCTGCCCCTTCAAGCGACAAGTGAGGTAGTTGCCCTGGTCGTGCATTTCAATCGTGCTAAAGCATTCGAGGGTAAGTGATTGGTAGGAGGTTAAACGCGTCTCGTCCGCATATTTCTCCAAATGAAGGATCTTCAAGTGATTGCGGATGGCATCGTCGATTTGAAGTTTCTTTAGTGCTTTCCAGTCAAGGACTCGAGGTCACGGGAATGGCTTTTCTACAAGCCGTTTATAAGTGGCTATTTCGTCGTCATTAAAACTGGAAACGGGATGCCGTGGGTCTGTGCCAAAATGGGAGTTTCCTCCCCCGAGTCAGAATCAGAGTGGTGTGAACTAGCCGAGGACTCTGGCGACGTTGCGATGACAGCTTTATTTTTCGTTTGGCTTCGGGTTTTGGGTGAGGCCTTGGAGACCTAAAAGGCATCAGCCCTCCACATGTATGCACCGGATCATCCTAGAAGAAGGTGCCAAACCATTTCGGGATAGTCAACGGCGGCTTAACACGAACATGATGGAAGTTGTGAAGACGGAGGTTCTTAAGCTTTATTCCGAGGGGCTTATCTTTCCGGTGGCCGATAGCGAGTGGGTTAGCCCCATCCATGTGGTGCCAAAGAAAGGAGGCATCACGGTTATTGAGAACGAGAAGAAGGAGATGATCCCCACCCGCATCAGTATCGGGTGGAGAATGTGCATCGACTACCGGCGACTCAACGCCGTGACAAAGAAAGACCATTTCCCGTTGCCGTTCATTGATCAAATCCTCGACCGCCTCTCCGGCCACCAATTCTATTGCTTTCTAGATGGACTTTTCGGCTACTACCAAGTAGCCATTGCTCCCGAGGACCAACCGAAGACAACCTTCACGTGCCCATTCGGCACATTTGCTTTCAAACGCATGTCGTTTGGACTTTGCAACGCACCCGGAACCTTCCAAAGGTGCATGTTCTCCATCTTCTTCGATATGCTCGAGGACTGTCTACAGGTATTTATGGATGACTTCAATATTTTTGGTGATTCATTTTCTCATTGTCTCCATAATTTATCTCGTGTCCTTGAACATTGTATCGAGTCTAATTTGACATTGAGTTGGAAGAAGAGTCACTTCATGGTAAAAAGTGGAGTCGTGTTAGGGCATATTGTGTCTAGTCGGGGGATAGAAGTCGATAAATCGAAGGTCTTAGAAGTTTTTTGGGTCATGCAGGTTTTTATAGGCGATTCATTAAAGATTTTTCAAAAATAAGCCAACCATTGTGTCAGTTGCTTGCTAATGATGTGCCATTTGTGTTTAATGATGCATGTTTAAATGCTTTCGATAAATTGAAAAATAAACTTGTGACTGCGCCTATTGTTATTGCTCCAGATTGATCTTTGTCGTTCGAAATTATGTGTAATGTATCGAATCTTGCGGTTGGAGCCGTCTTGGGCCAACGAGTGGATAAATTACTCCATGTAATTTATTATGCTAGTTTTACCCTAAATGACGTCCAATTGAATTATACTACTACCGAAAAAGAGCTTTTAGATGTGATTTTTGCTCTTGAAAAGTTTAGGTCTTACATTTTGGGGTCTAAAGTGATTGTTCATTCCGACCATGCGGCTCTTAGGTGTCTTTTAAGCAAAACTCATTCAAAACCTAGGCTTATTCGATGGATTTTACTTTTGCAAGAATTTGATATAAAAATTCGGGATAGAAATGGTTGTGAAAATGTTGTAGCGGATCACTTGTCTCGTATTGTTCCTTCTGAGTCTTCACTTCAATTGCATGAGCATGATTGTATAAATTATGTTTTTCCACACGAGTTAGCGAGTGAAGTAACTAGCCATCCGTGGTATGCGGACATAGTGAATTATTTATCCGATGGAGTTTTGTTATCTTACCTCTCTTCCCGAGAGAGGAAATGTTTTGTTTTCATGTGTAGAAGCTATTTTTTGGATGACCCCTTCCTTTACAAGATGGGAAAGGACGAGATTCTTCGGAAGTGTGTGCCAGAAGAGGAGCAATCGGATGTTCTTGTCTTTTGCCACGAGCTTCATTGTGGAGGCCATTTTGGAGGTCGAAAGACCACCTTTAAGGTCCTCCAGTCAGGTTTATTTTGGCCCACTCTTTTTAAGGATGTTCATGACATTTGCAAATCTTGTGACCATTGTCAAAGGATTGGGAATATCGATCCTAGAAATGAAATGCCTCTAATTAGCAATCTTCAAGTCGAAATATTTGATGTATGGGGCGTTGATTTTATGGGATCCTTTCCTAAATCCTTTGGCTTCAAATATATTTTTCTTGCCGTTGACTATGTGTCCAAGTGGGTCGAGGCTATCCCCACAAGGACGTGCGACGCTCAAGTGGTAATCAAGTTTTTGCAGGGTAACATTTTGAGTAGGTTTGGATTCTAACGGGCCATCGTGAGTGACGGGGACAAACATTTTTACAACCGAATAATTGAGAAGTTGATGAAGAAGTACGGCATTTTGCATAAGGTGGCGATTCCATACCATCCACAAACGTTGGGCCAATCGGAGACGAGCAACAAGCAATTAAGACAATTCTTGAGAAGACGGTGAAGTCGTCCTAGAAGGATTGGTCAAGTCGACTTGACGATACATTATGGGCTCAACCCCATACCATTCACCGTCTTCTCAAGAATTGTCTTAATTTGCTTGTTGCTCGTCTCTGCTTGGTCCGACGTTTGTGGATGGTATGGGGTCGCCACCTTATGCGATATGTCGTACTTCTTCATCAACTTCTCAAATATTCGGTTGCAAAAATGCTTGCCCCCGTCACTCACGCTGGCCCGTGGGAATCCAAACCTACTGAAAATGTTACCCTGCAAAAACTTGATTACCACTTTAGCGTCGCACGTCCTTGTGGGGATAGATTTGCAAAAACTTGATCACTCACGATATTCTCAATCCTTTGACAACGGTCACAAGATTTGCAAAAGTTATGAGCATCTTTAAAAAGAGTGGGCCAAAATAAACCTGACTGGAGGACCTTAAATGCGGTCTTTCGACCTCGAAAATGTCCTCCACAATGAAGCTCGTGGCAGAAGGAAAAAACATCTGATTGCTTCTCTTCGGGCACACACCTCCCAAGAATCTCGTCCTTTCCCATCTTGTAAAGGAATGGGTCATCCCTAAAATAACTCCTACACATCAAAACAAAACGTTTTCTCTCTTCGGAAGAGAGGTTAGACAACAAAACTCCATCAGATAAATAATTCACTAGGTCCGCATACACGGATGGCTAGTTACTTCACTCTCTTGCTCATATGGAAAAACATCATTTATACAATCATGCTCATACAATTGAAGTGAAGACTCGGAAGGAACAATGCGAGACAAGTGATCCGCTACAACATTTTCACAACCCTTTCTATCCCTAATTTCTACATCAAATTCTTGCAAAAGTTAAATCCACCGAATAAGCCTAGGTTTCGACTGAGTTTTGCTTAAAAGATACCTAAGAGCCGCATGGTCGGAATGAACAATCACTTTAGACCCCAAAATGTAAGACCTAAACTTGTCAAGAGAAAAAATCACATCTAAAAGCTCTTTTCAATTGGGAGCCGTTTAAGGTCAAACTAGCATAATAAATTATACGGAGTAATTTATCCACTCGTTGGCCCAAGACGGCTCCAACCGCAAGATTCGATGCATCACACATAATTTTGAACGGCAAAGACCAATCAGGAGCAATAACAATAGGCGCAGTCAGAAGCTTATTTTTTAATTTATCGAAAGCATCTAAACATGCATCGTCAAATACAAATGGCACATCATTAGCAAGCAAGTGACACTTCGAAAAATCTTTAATGAATCGCCTATAAAAACCTGCATGACCCAAAAAACTTCTAACACATTTCACATTCACGGGAGGGGGTAATTTCTCAATCACATCAACCTTCGTTTTATCGACTTCTATCCCCTGACTAGACAAGATATGCCGTAACACGACTCCACTTTTTACCATGAAGTGACTCTTCTCCCAACTCAATGTCAAATTAGACTCGATACAATGTTCAAGGACACCTGATAAATTATGGAGAGAATGAGAAAATGAATCACCGAAAATAGAGAAGTCATCCATAAATACCTGTAGACAGTCCTCGAGCATATCGGAGAACATGCACCTTTGGAAGGTTCCGGGTGCATTGCAAATGGACGTAATTGATCTATAAAGCCCCTGCAGATGGTGTTGATGAATATCTTAAGATTGTCGAGTTAACAACAAATGGTCGCGTGAAGAATTTTTTTCGTCGAGGCATTGAAGATTTCGGAGCACAATATCTGGGATCACCAAATCTCGATGATATTACTAAACTACTTCATATTGGTGAACAACGTGGTTTTCTAGGTATTTTAGGTAGCTTGGACTGCATGCACTAGGAATCAGAGAATCGCCATAAGGCATGAGCTGGTAAAAATATTCTAGACGTTCTGGAAAACCAACAATCATTTTGGAAGTTGTGGCAGATATGCTCTATAAATGTAGCATGCATATTTTGGTATGCAGGTGCGAATGATGACATTAATGTGTTGGAAGCATCACCTATAGTATCAAATCTTGCTGAAGGTATCGCTCCACCAGCTAATTATATCATTCAAGGTAAACAATTTAATATGAACTATTAATTAGCAGATGGTATATATCTGAAATGTTCTACTATTGTTCAGTCATTTGTTGAACCATCAGATCAAATGGATGAATTCTTCAAAATGAGACAAGTGGCATGCAAAAAAGGTATTAAGCGTGCATTTAGAGTTCAGCAAAAAAAGTTCGCAAATCATCGCTGGTCACGTTCATTTTTGGAAAAGAGAAGTGCTTAATGATATAATGAAATCATGTATTATTTTGCACAATATAATTATCACAAATTTAAGCGTAATGCATGAAAATGTAATTTGTAGAGGCTATTTAATAATTCTTTTAGATAAAATTTATATAGAGAATGGGTTGGAGTTGCTGGATGAAACGGTAAAATTAGTGGAATTTCACTATATCAATTTTAAAAATAGAGATTGTGGTTGAAGATGTTTCAAGGAAGACAAGTTTGATCCTATATATTTTCAGTCAACCCCGTTCAATTTCAATAATTAAAGTTGTTGTTTCTATAGCATTTGCAATTGCTGGCGAAGTCAATAATTTTGTATATGAATCTAAATATAATTGTATACTTTAAATATAACTTGTGCAAATTAGCTTTAATTTAATTTTGCACAAATAAAGGGGGTCTACACCCCTCGGATTAAAAATAATTGGCAATTTCGTTATCTAACATTATATATATAAATTGCAGGGCGAGATTTTGGTTGTCAACTTCATAACAAAAAATAAGGGTAATGGTAAACTTCCTTTATTTTTAAATACTCATAATTTTCTACTATATATTATTCATAATACTTGTAGCTCAAGTGTTCGTATTAAATCTAGCAAGCTTCATGCGTCATGTCCTCAATTTTTTTTTTTTTTTTTTTTTTTTGGATCCAACTAATGATTTATTTACTTTTTTAATTCGATTAAACTCCTAATTTTATCAATTTTTTTGATACTGTAGATATTTTATTTTAGCTATAATGCTTTTAAGAGTGTACAATAAAGAATCTTTCTTCGTAATAAAACCTCAGATCAGTAAGTACATATATTCCTCGAATAGAGAGAATCAAATTCCAAATTTACTATAGCATTTTATTTTGAGAATAAGGTCTTTGGTAGTTTGGTTGAAAATCAACTAGTACGTAACCCGTGCGATGCACGGGATGTAAAATGTGGAAGAATAATATAATCTCACGTGCATTAGGATCGAAATTGAAATCATTGAAATAAATAGGAACGTTGTTGAATCATAAAAAGTTCGGTAACAATCATAAATTATTAAAAACCTCCTTGTACACAACATTATGAGTTTGATTATTTGGTAACTCCTCTTTATCACAAACTAATATTTTCAACCCCCTTCTATTATTTATACGCGAAGCAGCAACATATAATTGGTCGTGACTAAAAACGGGTTTCTTCAAGAAAAGACCAACGTGCGATAAAAAAAAGAGTTTTTAAAAATTGAAAAGTCAAGTCAATCAGTTCAGATTAATTAAAGGTCAAAGAATATCCGCTCCTTGAAATAAAGACGTGTGTTATCATTAACCAAATATCCGGTTATTGATATAGAGTGGTTACCAAAAAATAGAACGCGATAAGGACGCTTCACGGAAATATCAATAGGATAAGATCATAACAGACCGCTATACATTTTAAGGATAAAAGCTCATATGGAATGATTTAATTAGATGTGTGAAAATGACATAATTAATGAGAAGTGTGAAAATGACATAATTAATGAGAGGTGTGAAAAGGACAAAAACTTATCGGTTTTGGAAAATATTTAATGCAAATCCGACATTGACCATAAGTTGACCTACTATTTTGGATAAATGTTAATTCTTATTATATAAGTATAGATACGGAAAACTAATGATGATTCTATTATATATTTTTATTATTTTTTTATTTTTTACAATCACGTACATGATTTTTGCAGGAATAGTCATACATAACATGTTTGTATCAAATTAACTCCTTTGTACAAAGACCCGAACAAGGTGTTTCGCAATGTTCATATTTCGACTCTTAAATATAAGTTTGACATTATCTCACTCACCAGATATGTTTTAATTCTCGAGCAAAATAATACCTTCTTAAATTCGTCTAATAACCATTATCTGTTTATCAAAAAAATGTAAATATATCACTCTAAAGATATTTTTTTTTATATACACTTATAATTAGTTGGTCTCTATAAAAAATAAGAGACGTTCAAAATCATAAGAAATGAGTATTCGCTGGATTAGATTATCGGTTTTGATCATTTTTTTTTTTTTCGGTTCACTAACTTATAACTTATAGTTTGGCATTATTTTAAAAAGCTTTACCAAAGCACATAATTAATGAATGTACGTAATAATTAAAGACAATGGTTGCAGATGAAAGACATTTGGGCACAGTACCTAAAATGGAAGCAATTTGCACGGTGTGTTGTAGCTTCGTTATGAAATATACAGTTGCGTTCAAGACAAAATGCAAATGTGAAATGAGCTTAGTACATGAAGAATGCGTCTCAGAAGGTGAAGAAAAGGGAAGTTGTGGTGTTTGTGATGATAAAATAGTGCAATACATGCCAGTAATTCTCTCACTAAAAGGAAAAACAGACCCCCTTGCAGTCATAGAAAGGTAAGTATACAAATTAGAACATTGTTCCACTTTTGATTAATAGCATTTTTTTTAACATTGTTCCACTTTTGATTAATAGCATTTTTTTTATTCTTATTTGAACTTTATTCTTGCAAATTAAATGCAAATTTTTATATTTTGCAGCGACCCGGAGGCCGCTGAGGAACAGTATGGCGAATATTTGAAGTTGTAAATGATGGTCTGCGTTCAAGAGCTTATTGAGGATTTATATATGTTCCGATTGAATAATTAAACACCATTAGCTTCATTAATGGAACATCTCAAAGTTTGCTATTCAACACAACTTGCCTGTAATGTCGGTTACTTATTAAATTATTAAAAAACAAAAAGGTTAGGCAAACACATCCTTCTTCCCTTCTTCCATCTATGCAGTTCAAGAACCGATCACGTAGACTTGATGTTGGTATATGTGTCCTAGAGACAATCTTTTTGAGGACATATATACATGATCACATTAATAATTATATTGGATTATAATTATGGTATTGTAATTAATTAAATAATTGTTTGATTGTTTGCAATTTATTAATTAATTGCTCTTTTGAGTTGATACTGTCATTAACAGAGTGAGATGTTAATTGATAAAGTATAACTCTCAAATCGCCTCAATCGATGATCATTAAGAAAGGGATATTAATGATACGCGATAGATTGACATGTGATCTGCATCACATTCTTAGAGAATATAGTATGTCTCACTGCTATGAATAATTGTTATTCATGATGGACACATGGATACTTTAGAGAGTATTGACATACCCTACCGATAAACCATTTGTTTATGTGTCTATGGGAGTATCGGTGTGTGGAATGGTGTAATAGTCCTTTGACTTGAGGTCAATACGCAATTCATGTATAGAGTGATTTACTTAGACCTAGTCCAAAGCTTACGCCCTTATGGGTAGTTACGGGCTTGTGTTGGGTTGGTCACGATATACATGGAATTGGTAGTTGAGCCAAGATAGGATTCATTCCTCGAATATAGTTTCGAGAGAACACTCGTTTTCTCTATACTGGGTTGATAAAGTCATTGGCCAATGCACGTGATTATATTTGAAATGGTGTTCAAATATAATTGATAAAATCAACCAGTGATATGAGATAAAATGATTAAGTTGTTTGGATAGACACACGTTCAAATCCTAAGCTTAATCGAGTGGTTCGTGAATGAAGGGACCGTATCACTATTGAGTTCTACACGAAAGGTTTGTTTGCTTGTCCATGTAAACGTACTTCATATTTTGAGTTCGTCCTTTGACGCAGTCTAGGAGTTTCGTAAAGATCATAAATTAGATTTATGTCAATATATGAAGGCCTATAGGGTCACACAATAAGCAATCAGTTTTTCGGCTAAGAGTGAATCGAGAGTGTTAAATATTCAATTGGATTGGAATATTTATTTATGAGTTATGAAATTATTTTCTATTTGATAGAAAATATTTAATTAAGTTAAATTAGATTTATATTTAATTAAATTATTATTGGATTAAAGTCCAATTACCTATTGGGCCATAGGATCTCCTACGGCCCATATAATTAGGTTTGACCTAATTATAAATAGGTCATTATCTCTTGGTAGTCTTTAACGATCATTAGATGAGAGATGAAAGATACATCGTAAAATAAAACACTTTCTAGCTTTCTGGATCGAGGATTCCTAGCTTTTTCATCGGAAGGGATTCATTGGCGTTAGATCGTGCACCGGAAAACTGTATTGCGTGGATACCATAGTCGAGGACAAAAGACGAATAACTGTAAGTTTTCGTGTATCATTCACGTGATCTAGGATCATATCGAATAGCTATAGCCGGATCTTCGTTGTTGGTAAGAAAATTTTAAAATTCCGCTGCGCGTGCGATTGATTCGTACGTCGAAAATCCAACACTTGCTTCTCGTTGAAGCCTGTCGTTTTTCTGTGGGGGGTTTTTGTGTACAACTAATAATAAGTATAATTCTAATTTATCTATTCTATTAATATATAAAGAGACAATAACATTTACTTGAAATGGTAACTAAAAATCAATAAAAAACATTTGATTTCCGGCCTAAAAATTTAGATTTACTAAATTGGGTAAATTTTTAGCCAAAATTTGAAAAATCCCGTCTAAATTAATGTACTTAATGTACATAATCATTTTGGTCAAATATTGCGGCTATTACCGTTACTAGTTGCATGATTTAAATTTAGAATACAAGATATTGACAAAACTTGCGGCTATTATCTTTATTAGTTGCATGGTTTAAATTTGGTATATAATATATTAAAAAAATTATTTAAAATTAAAATAAATAAAATAATTATTCATAACTTACGGGTCAATATTAAGTTGGACGTAAATGAAATAGTAAATTATGTATAGTTTGATAAATTACTCAATGACTTACGGGTCAATATTAACTTGGACGTAAACGAAATAGTCAATTATTTATAATTTAATAAATTACTCAACAGCTACTTATTTTTTTTATTTGAATAGTTTATAAAAAATAAATTTATTTTAAGTGATGAAACAATATAAATTTTATATCTATACTTATATTAAAGGGAGTCCTATTTAACAAATTTACTAGCTAGAAAAGTCAACAGCATTTATTGTCATTACTATTTCCGTATTATACAGTTTTATTTAATATTTGTTTTTCTGTTACGATTTTTAAAATCAGATATGGTCAAATTCTCTCATCATTAATTACTTTTCATTAATTACAATTTATTTATTTATTATTTTCTTAGCAAAAACGGACCAACATTAATTGATTTCCTTAAAATGTGGAAGTTGTTACTTTATTTTTGTACAGAAAATCGGGCTTCATTATAGAAATTTGTTCAATTACACAATGAATTTTCTATGATATAATTATTTTTTATGGGATTTTTTTTTAACAGAAAAATATGGCATTTCAATAAGATTTTCAATTTTTTAAAACTGATCGTTATCATGCTATGAAATTGAACATTCCAATATACTTTAACAAAATATACACGTGGTGTATACATTAGTTAATAGAAATATAGAATCCTCATATTTTTATATATACGTATGTAATTTTTCTATTACCAAATTTAATTGATAGTTGTTGTGTTATAGGTTTTTTCATAATTGTTACTTGGTTGTTGTGATATTTAGTTTGGTTGGTATCGCAAAAATTCTAATCTATATAAATAATAAGAATAATTATTACAATGCAAATTAGAAAAAAACTGATATTAGAAGAGATTGAGTTCATGGCTTTTCTTAAATCAAAGTTGTTTAATTAGTATACAAAATTAAATTCTAAAAAAATATATGTGTATATCTTGTACATTATTTATATACTATTTAATTTTAAATTTATTTACGTATTTCAAATTGATTACCTACATAAATAATAGCAACGTGCATTAAATATATTTCATTACATAAAATAAAAAGAACAAGAAGACGTGTAACTTGTATAACTTTATAAATAATAATGACATTATATGGCAACAGAGTTTAATAATTAACTATTATATAGTGAATAAGAATAAGTAAAATTGTTATTTTCTCTTATATCAAGGAATAAATATATATAATAAAATTAAATTTATATTAGTATAAATGTGTTAGTGAGATAATATATTAATTATTTTACAA